AAGTGTACTTTGCAAAGCTTTACACAGACATTTTATCAAGAAAGATACACATAAGTAAGCTCATGAGAAGATATCTGTTCAACATCATTAGCCATTAGAAAAGTGCGAACCGTCCGGAGCTGTGGGTCGGGTCGGGCTCGCGCACTTTCGTCACTAGCTCAGACACTGCATAAGGGAGGGGAGTCGATGAAGATAGAAAAGCATGTGCTTGCCCGGGCGAGGCCAGCTGAGAAGGAGAGAGGTGAAGGGGTGGAGAACTTGAAAGGTGATAGCTGTGTGAGTACTGGTGACGGTGCTGACCGAGGGATCCTCTACCTGGAGACCGAGCTCGTGCCCCCTTGCTGGTCTGTAGCCTTTCATTTGCAGACTGCAGTTTCATCAACGATTTTCTGTAGCTGGATAGCGTTGTATAAGATACGATTTAAGTTTATAAACTAAAACAAGTGTGAGCTCATAGCCTTGATTTTAAAAGGGGGTCGGGTGGGCGAAGGAAGGAATTCCAAAAGCAGCAGGAGGAATCTGCCAGCCGAAATACCGAGCGATGGAGCAGGTAGATCACTAAGCCCGAAGCGAAACCGGCGCGAGCTCAAGCCACGCCCCCGCTCGCCTTTCCACGCCCCCACCCTCCCGCGCCCCGACTCAATTCAGTCACTTAATATTCGCCTCCGCACTTTCGCTGAGCTTTCCCCAGCCCTCGCAGCAACCAGGGGGGAAAGGCGGGGCTAAAACCCAAAAAAGGGGCCTTGGGGAGGAGCGAGCGACGTCGTTGCCAAGGCAACTCGAGAGCTAGGCCAGGGACTCACCAGAGGTGGCTTTGTGAATGGACATGTGGAAGCGAGACTTTCCACTTGTCTCCGACGTTATTGGCCACCGCATTTTCGTGACTGAACAGGAACGAAGCAAATCTCAAGTATACTTAATAGATCTCCACCTGCATTTTCAAGTTGATGGGATTACCAAGGGGGCAGAAATTACTTTTTTAAAACGAATCTGTCAAAAGACTACTAGTGACGGGGCTGAGTGAAGCAAGTGACTTGGACGGCCATGCCACAGAGCTGGAGCAAAATGGAGAGGTGAAGCTTCCCTCTAATCCCTAATCCTCAGCCATTTTCTCAATGGCGCCGCGCAGAGTCCCACCTTTCCACACGTGAGGTAGGGGAAGCGAATCTGCGGTGGTCACACCACCCAGGCCATGCAGGAGCGCATCCCTTGCTATGTACATCTCCTCCCACCCAATAAAGAAATTTAGTCCAGAATATCCAAGCGTGTTATCCAGGTCGCTCCAGCTGTTCCCTGAGGCTAGGAGCAGTCCAATCCCTGCACCTTTATCCAAGTTTCTCCCAGCTTTCTGATGTGCCCTTCTTCTTGGCCCAGCTCCATGGGATTCAGTCCTTGGACAGCTACCCTCCCACCCTCTAAATCTGGCTTCATCCCTGTTTGGGTACACTTATTAAAAAAGGGGGGGAGGAGGTAGCTGGTGTGGTTCAGTGGATAGAGCGTTGGGCCTGCAGACTGGAGTCCCGGTTCCATTCTGGTCAAGGGCACATGCCCAGTTGCGGCTCGACCCCCAGTAGGGGGCGTGCAGGAGGCAGCCGATCAATGATTTTCTTATCTTTTGATGTTTCTCTCCCCCTTCCTTTCTGAAATCAATAAAAATATACTTAACAAAAAACAACAAAAAACAACAGGAGGCGGATTTTCCTGTAATAATTGTTCTTTGGCAGGAGGGTAGTATTGGGGAATTTCTTCAGGGTGACTGAACTTTGCAACTTCTATAATAAACAATTTCCCACTCTGCAATTTGCCTTCCTTTATTCCCTGCCCCCTCCCCGGCCCCACCCACCTCCAGTCTTCAGGAACTGCCCCAAGACCCACATTTCTGTAGAGTGTAAAGTTCTGTGAGGTAGAGCATTCCTTTCAATGCGATCTAGAACTTGTGGGGTTGCAGAATTTTACTGACTAGACACTGGAGACCTGAAGAAGTCAGTTGCTTGGAGCTTGGCCCAAAACTCCAAGGGAATTCCGAACTCTGAGGCCCAGAGACCTGGAACTGCTGGAAGCCCGGGAATCTGGCTGGGCCCAAGGCAGCAGGTGACCACAATGAGGTCTTCACAGCTTGAAGGTGTATGCAATGATGTCACTGCACCGGAGCAGCGCCTCCGCCTGCACGCCTATTGGCGTCTGCAGCTGCAGCACGTAGAAGTTGGCCACCTCCACGTCCGTGGCGCCGAAGTGGGCGGTCACGTGCACACCCTCGTGCAGGGTGAAGCTGACCTGGCGACCCACCATGGCCAGCAGGCTGCGGAGGTAGCGCTCCCGGAGGAGGGCTCGGGCCCGCTGTTCCTGGGATTCCTGACATTCGTGAACTACAGGAGACTCCGGGGTTCCAGGAACCTCTGGCTCCAGGGGGGCCCTCCGTCCATCGGGGGCAAAGCCTCTGCTCAAGCCCTCGGGGCCCCGGGGCAGCCGGAGCACGGGCACAGGACTGGGCAGTGGTGTCTGCATTGTCCGGGCTGTTGGGTAAAGAAGAAGAGCGGGGAGTCATTACACAGGGAGGTGGGGTGGCAGGAAGAGGGAGGACTGGAAGCAGAGGCTTTTCTGCCACATCTCAGCTCAGCCTGTCCAAAACCAACCTGATTCCCCCTCCTAAAAGCTGCACCATCCCCCCACCAGTCCCCGACTCCCAGAACTGCCACCATTCATGAGGTGCACAGAGTGGGGACTTCTGCCTGATGTTATCACAGCTTTACCCCCAGTTCCTGGCCATAAACATGTGCTGAAAGACCCCTGTCTCCTCTCCTCTCTCACACATGGCCCATCCAATCCACCAGGAAATGCTACCTTCCGAATAAATCCCATCCGGCAGACGCAGCCTGGAAGGGCTCCCATTGGACAAATCTGGAATGATTTGAACATTTAAATATGACAATTGCAGATTATAACCATTGAATAAAACAGAAATCCTTGAGTTCATGCTAACTGAAAACAAACAAAGGAGAAGGAAACTTCCTTCTTATCTTAGAACGGCAGCTAAAATCAATAGATGGTAAAACCTGTGGAGGAACATCGATGCGGTCCAGGGTATCTACACAGCCTTAAAGTGCCTCCTCACAAGATATTCACTGTAAAGAGTAACTTGATGGTGGAGAAACCTGGTGGACACCAGCACTTGGGCATCAAAGCTAATATGTGCAGTAATAAGACAGATAGACACCATGTACCTCCTGATGTGATGTATTAAGGACAGGACAGCCGTAACCGGTTTGGCTCAGTGGATAGAGCGTCGGCCTGAGGACTGAAAGGTCCCAGGTTTGATTCCGGTCAAGGGCATGTACCTTGGTTGCGGGCACATCCCCAGTAGTGGTTGTGCAGGAGGCGGCTGATGGATGTTTCTCTCTCATCCAAGTTTCTAACTCTCTCTCCCCTTCTCTTCCTCTCTGTAAAAAATCAATAAATTAAAAAAAAAAGGACAGGACACAGGTGTGTGGATCACCTGAATCTAATCATGAGGGACAATTGTGTCTAATCAATCTAATCAACTTGAAGAGCACTATACCAAAAAATTAGCCTGGGAGACAGATTTTTTTTTTTAACAGTTTTAATTTTAAAAAAAAAATTTTTTATTGATTATCGAGAGGAAGGGAGAGGGAGAGATAGAAACATCAATGAGAGAGAATCAGTGACCGGCTGCCTCCTGCACACCCCCTACTTCGGATGGAGCCTGCAACCAGAGCCTGCCCTGACTGGGAATTGAACCATGACCTCCTGGTTCATAGGTCAACGCTCAACCACTGAACCACATTGGCTGGGCCTGAGAGACAGATTTGAGCTCTGCCTCTTGTCTCCTTGCCATTTGACCTCACAGTTAAAGCTTTTTCTTAAAAAAAATAAAAAATTAGCCTGGATTCTTCAAAAATATCAAGGTTGTAAACGAAAAGCTGAGGGAAAGGCCTGGCCAGGTAGCTCAGCTGGTTAGAGCGTTCTCCCGATACGCCACGGTTTCAGGTTCAATCCCTGGTCAGGGCACATACAAGAAGCAACCAATGAATGCATAAATAAGTGGAATAGCCAATCAATGCTTTTCTCTCTCTTTAAAATCAATAAGTAGCCCTAGCCAGTTTGGCTCAGTGGATACTTATTCTCTCAACTGTCAACATCTTGGTCCAACCACCACCACTTCCACCACTTCCTGCCTGGACTGTTGAAGTCAACTCCTCACTGGCTCCCCCACACCTTTCCGCCTTCACACCCCTATCCCTGTCCTCACACACAGCCAGAGGGACCAGAGTCAAATACCGTCTCCCCGCTACTCAGAGCCTGCCGGTGGCTTAATTCAACGCCAAGGTCCTCATCACTGCCCTCAAGGCCCCCATGTTCTGGACCCCCTCCTGGCACACCATCCAACCCCAGCCACTCTGGCCTCTTTGGTCCCTGAATACGCCTGCAATCCCTTCTCAGGCCTGGGCATTGGGGTTCCCTCTGCTCTATCTCCTTTTCCCCTTCCCTGACCACCTGATCTTACAGTTTTATCTGCCCCTCATCCCTCTATCAGCTTCATCCTTCTTTGCAGCACAGACCCCTCCTAGACATCTTGTATATTTATTGTTCTGCTACGGTCCTTCCCTGCAAGACGGCTCCGTCCCCATAGCCCGGCTTCCCCTCCTCCCCCGTGTCCTCAGCTCCTGGAACACTGACTGGCACAGGGACCAGGCTCTGGTCCCACGAAAGGAGTGGAGATGAAGCTCCCAGGCCTGTTTAGCTGGGTGACCCAAGAGGCACTTTGCTCTTCATCGTATGGAGAAATAGCACCAATTGCCACCTCTGTTTATCAGGATTTAACAGGCTTTGCAGGACGGGGCTGGGGGCTGGATATACACCAGGTTCTCCATAAGAGTTACAGTTGTTTTTCCTGTTGTTGTCTGACCTGGGGTGAACTGCTTGGCTGCTCTGTGCCTTGGTTTCCCCACCTGTAAAACGAATGATAAAAGGACCTACCTCCCACGGTTGTCATGGGGACTGAATGACCTAAGGTACAATGTTTAGCATTCTCCTGCAACATCGCAAGCACCCCTGCTATGACGTGGATTGCATATGGGGAGACGCTGGCTTTGGGGGTTGGAGGAAGAGATGGGCGCCTACATTTGGTTCAGGCAGCTGCTCCACTCTCTGTGGCTCAGTCCCCTCCTCCCTAAAGGACTGATTAACTGGGGACCCACCACCATCACTTCCACCACTTCCTGCCGGGACTATTGACGTCAGCTCCTCACTGGCTCCCCCACATCCTCCCGCCTTCACACCCCGACCCGTCCTCACACACAGCTCTCCTGTGCATCAGGTCTGGCTCCTCCAGCACCGCCGCTATGGAGAAAGGGGTTCAACAGCTCAGGCTGGAGGCCTGGCTCAACCGAGTGAAGGTTTGCCAGGCAGCTGCCGATTTGAAAAATTCTGTCTGCAGAACGCTCAACGTGACCCCCTGCTGACGGGAGAGATTAACCCAGGACCTTATACTCATATACGCATAACCCATGGACATAGGCAATGGTGCGGTGAAGACCTGCGGAGGAGGTGGGAATGGGGGGGACGGTTAATAAGGGAGGAAATGGAACATTATTAATACTTTCAACATTAAATTTTAAAAAATAAAAATAAAATGGTTAATTGAAGTCACCGACAAATATGAGGCACCCTGTCTGTCTTGGGGTCATTCATGGTCCAGAAGTGATCCAGATTCTCCTTTTTCTGTGAGGCACTTCCTGTTTCTGCAGCTCAACTGTGAGCTCCTTGCAAGAAAGGACGAGAAATGGGTCCAGGCTGTGGACCAGGGTTTCTCCACCTCCCTGCTACTGACTTGGGCTGGATCATTCTCTGTTGTGTTGTGGGGCTGTCCTGTGCCTGGGTGTCGGGGTTTAGCAGCATCCTTGGCCTCTACCCACTAGGTGCCAGTAGCTCCCTGAGATGTGACAACCAAAACTCTCTCCACTGGGGAATAGCATGGTCTGAGAATTACACATCAATTCAGTAAAGCCATTAAAATACACACACACACACACACACACCGTCTCTAGGGGACAAAAAAAATCATCTCTAGTTGAGAACCACTGACAATCAGGTGGGAAGAGGGGGGATGGAGACTGCTACTGAGTAAGTGACATATTCACACAGCCTCACTGAGAACCTGAGAGATGCAAATTCAAGCTACCAGGCTATAGGATTCCACTTCCCAGACCAGGGAAGATAAAAGGGACTAATAAAGCTCTGAGCTGGTGCAGCTATGGAGGAACATCTTCTAATCCCTGTGGCCCGGTGTCAGTTAGGACAGCCTCAGAGAGGGCAGCTGGACAGAATCCAGGAAACTGCAAACGCCAGGCATTCCGACCTTCTGCCCATGAAAAGCCCGGGCAGGGCGACCTGGAGTTGTCTGCCTTTTTGTACCCTTTGAATTGTCCCATGTATTTGAATAACCTATTCAAATAAATTTTAAATTCTAGCCGAAACCGGTTTGGCTCAATGGATAGAGCGTCGGCCTGCGGACTGAAGGGTCCCAGGTTCGATTCCGGTCAAGGGCATGTACCTGGGTTGCGGGCACATCCCCAGTGGGGGGTGTGCAGGAGGCAGCTGATCAATGTTTCTCTCTCATTGATGATTCTAACTCTCTATCCCTCTCCCTTCCTCTGTGAAAAAATTAATAAAATTCTCGGCTAAATTCTAATTTTAAAAAGGAATGTGTTGCAATGCTTCCATGTCCCTTAAAAAAAAAATCTTAGGAAAAAAAATGTTAGATTCTTTACGCGGCCGATGTGGCTCAGTGATTGAGCATCAACTTATGAACCAGGAAGTCACAGTTCAATTCCCAGTCAGGACACATGCCTGGGTTGTGGGCTCCATCTCCAATAGGGGGCATGTAGGAGGCAGCTGGTCAATAATTCTCTTTCATCACTGATGTTTTTATCTCTCTCTCACTCTCCCGTCCTCTCTAAAATCAATATTTTAATAAATAAGTATGTGGATGGTGGGACCGGCACCAGGTGTCAGACCAAACCTGGGTTCAGCAACCTCGGTGCTTGGGTTCTGGTTAGGAAAGAATTCAGATCCGAAACCCAAACTGTAAGAGAACATTTACTGGGTACATCACGGAGGTGGAAGAAGTCATTCCCAGAAGAAATGGGCTGAGGCAACAAGTCATGGAGGCAGAGGAAGGGCTCTGGGAGCTTGGGAGGAGGAAGCTAATGGTACGGTGCCTGGGCAGGGAGGGGAAGGGGGGGAAGGCAGGGGTGTGCTCCCAGGAGGGAGAGCCCACGGGTCCTGTCCTAAGTGTTTTAAGGGTGTGATTTAGGGGCGGTCCCTAAAGTCTCAATAAACCGGCGGTTCTCAACCTGTGGGTCGCGACCCCTTTGGGAGTCGAACGAACCTTTAACAGGGGTTGCAT